ACACAGTTGACCATTTTCTCTTCTTTAAACATTATATTCTCATGACTGTGTGGATACCATTCATTTCTGCTCTTAGTTTTATGGCATTGGCTGCTCATTCTCATTATCTCTTGTTGACATTCTAACATTCAAAGATGTAGAAGCTGACATTCTCTACATAATAGCCTGAGTGAACTTCTTTAAATATGTCTGACCATGTAATTTTTCTAATTAAAACTTCCAATAGCTTCAATGGGGGAAAGAATAGGGTTTTCAACAAATGGTGCTGAAACAACTGGATATCTCCATGCAAAAGAATGAAGCCGGACATCCACTTCATGCCATATGTAAATATTAATTCAAAACAGATCTTAAGACCTAAATGTAAGCTAAACCTATAAAACTCTTAAAAGAAAACATCTTCATGATCTTCAATTTGGCAACTGTTTCTTAGATGTCACTAAAAGCACAAGCAATAAAAGAAAAAATAAATAAACTGGATTTCATCAAAACTAGAGTTGTCCTTCTATGGACACTATCCAGAAAGTGAAAAGAAAACCCTCAAAATGGAAGAAAATATCTGCGAATCACACATTTGATATAGAACTTGTGTATCCAAAATATATAAAGAACTCTTACAACTCAACAATAAAGGACAAATGTCCCAATTAAAAATGGGCAAAGGATCTGACATTTCTCCAAAAATGCACAAATGGCCAACGAGCCCATGAGTGAATGCTCAACAGTCATTAGAGAATAGCAAATCAAAACCACAATGAGATACTACTTCATATGCACTAGGATGACTATAATAAAAAAGCAAACTAACACAATGGTAAGACTGTAGATAAATTGGAACCCTCATACATTGTTGGTGGGAGTGTAAAAAGATGCAGCCAGTTTGGAAAATAGTCTGGCAGTTCCTCGAAATGTTAAATATACAGCTAACATGATCCAGCAATTCTACTCCTAAGAATATAGCCAAAAGATATACATATACTCACACAAAAACTTACACATGAATGTTCATAACATTATTCAAAATAGCCAAAAAGTAGAAACCACCTAAATATCCACCAATTCATAAATGGATAAATAAAATGTGGAATATAGATAAATGGAATATTATTCAGCCATAAAAAGGAACATGGTGAACTTTGATTAAGTGAAAGAAACCAGACACAAATGACCACATTGTATGATTCCATTTATATGTGATGTCCAGAATAGGAAAATCTAGAGACAGAAAGCAGATTAGTGGTTGCCCTGACTGAGGGGTTTGGGCAAGATGAGTGGCGGATGCTTAAAGAATACAGAGATCGAGGAGATCTCTTCATGAGTTATATAAATGTCTAATTACTATGCTATACACCTGAAACTAATACAATCATGTCAACTGTAATTGGAAAAAAAGTTTGTGTTTTTTGGGGGGGAGGTATAAAAATGTTCTAAAATTGTGTTGAATGGTGAATATACTTCATAAATATACAAAAGAACCCTATTTAACTGTACACTTTAAATGGGTCAATTATATGGTATAGGAATTATGTTTCAATAAAGCCATTACAAAAACAAATAAATGAAAAACATGACTAGGCTTAAAAGACAAAATTTCCAATGGTAATTCAATATAACCAGAATCAATTCCAAAATCCTTACTCTGAGGTTTACAAAGTGTTACAGGATTTGGCTTTTCTCCAGCTCCCTAAATTTTGAAGCATTCGCTTTCCTGACAGCCACAATAACATTTTTTACATGTTCTCAAATTCACAAGTTTGTTCCCACGTGAGAGCCTCTATATTAGCTGTTCCCACAGCCTGTATATAATTGGCTCTCCATCATTTTCACATTTTAACCATCACCCTGTCAATGAAGCCCTCTCTGATTACTCAATTTAGGTAGTTATCAGGCAGCTCTCCATTCCATCTCCTTATTTCTCTGCATAGCACTTATTACAAATTTATTTATTTACAGTTTGTCTCCTATGCCCTCTAAAATATAAGTTCTATCAAAGATCTGTCTGTCCACTGCAGAAACCACCACATCTACAGAGTAAATAAGCACTCAAATGTTTACTAATGAGTCAGTATTTAGGATATTACCTTGCAGATTTCTTTATTAATTTTTAGAATCAAGGCATTCCAATTCAGTTACATGATCCTTAAAAACACACATTTTTAAAAAATAATTCTTATGTTACTAAATACAAGTAATCAGAAATATAACAGAACTACCAATACATTGACATTCTTTACATTCGATCTTGGTATGCAATTAAGATATTCATACATTTGCCATCTATCCATTTATCCATCAATTCAAATATGTACTGAGTGTCTACTGTGTGCTAGGCATTATATAAGAACACACATAGAACAAAGGTTTGGAATCAGACCCAGGTTCATCCCCAGGTTCCAATCCTTTCAGCTGAGTGACCTTAAAGGTATTTAATCTCCTTGAATCTTAGCTTTTTTTTTTCATTCACAATTGAGGAATACAGTAATATTCTATAATTTATTTGTTATGGATAACCCCAAAGCAATCTGTACTATAATATGCAAAGATGCAATAATGTCATTGTGTGATTAAAAATTTAATTGTGTTTTCAAGATGTTCTAAGTCAAAACCATTTCTGCAGATGTGCTATCATATTCGGAGCTCTGTCAAGTTATTATCTGTGTTTAAGCTGTACTCAAATGTGCTTCATTGGAAAACCTTACCTTTGCCTGCAGCTTATTTCTGTATAAGGGTAAAATGGTTTTTTATTTAGCCAAGTTAAAGACCTGGCTGGACTTTTCAATTTTTCAAAGAGAATCTCAGCACTGTCACTTGCTCATCTCATCTCAAAGTATGCAGATCTGCCCTTTAAAATAACACAAAATCCTTTTTTTCATTCTAGAAGCATTCACTGAGTAAATACTATATGCCAAACACTATTCTAGGCACTGGAGGAAAAAACTGTAAACAGAACAAAAATTCCTCCATTAATGGAGTTTATATTCTATTGAGGGTGATCAATCGATCAATCGAATGACTTTCTAAAATTATACATCTTGTGGAATTATACATCTTCACAAGTGAAAAGTGCCAAGAAGACAAAAAGTAAAGAAACTAGGGGCTGATGTTGGCAGTGGTGCAAACAAGTGAAATTTTAAATGGGCTGGTGAGGGAAGGCCTCAGTGAGAAAGTGAAGAGAATAAAATAAACCATACATAAAAATATCTGGAGGAACAGTGTTCCAAGAAGAGAGAAGAACAAGTGCAAAGGTCCTAAGGCATAGCTGAGAAATCGTAAGGAGGTCAATGTGGCTGGAATGGAGTAAGATCGAGGGAGGGGGGAAAGGGAGCCAAGGTGGAGTGAAGATTGTGTAGGATCTTAATAGGCCTGTGCAAGAACTTCAGCTTTTCCTCTGAGTGAGACAGGAAATCTATTGGAATGTCTGTGAAAAGAAACAACCTGGGTTTAAAAGAATCATTCTGTTTACTGTGTTGAAAATAGGTGTGCATACAGAAGCAGAGTTAGGAGGTAATACAATACCTACTGAAAAAACTGCTAAAAGAATCACCATTTAAGAAAAATCATCTAAAAGACATGCTAAAATTCCTCTAGGCTGTATACTTAAATCAAGTTAAAACCCTAG